GGATTATCAGGACAAGCTCTAGACAGGTGCCCCATTTCTCCACAAACAAAACATTTTGCAAAAGGAAATTCACCTGCAAAAATCAACAGTTCCTGTTAAGTTGACAATACATATGGCAAGTCATAAAATTCACATTATTTTAAAATACTCCGAATAAAAAATGTTTTTACATAACTTAAAATTTAATCTCTTATGATTTCCAAATACTAGCTGGCACACTCATAACAAATTTTGTTAACAAAAAAATACCCAGGGTGCTATTTATTGGCTTTCCCCACCAACCAAACAAAAAACTGAAAAACATACCAAGAGCCGGGTCTACTTTAGCCTTACACTTGGTTATTTCGTGCTCTGTGGACCCACACCTGTAACATATTCCAGTGCCCATATCTTGATTTTCAAGGGCGGCAGGGCAATCTGCAATTCCATGACCAGGTTTTCTACAATGGAAACACACCTGGAAAAACAAAATGTGGGTTGCCACACTGTAAAGCTATACCAGTGACTTTATTAATTCTTATTATCAAAAACATATTTAAAACATCTCTCACCTTATGTAGCTCTTTTTCTGAAATCTCAATATTTTATTTATAGGAAAAAGTGTTTCATACATTCCTAAACAATAAGAGATATCCTTTCCATCAGAGGGTTTTATTACTTTTGAAAAGCTCAACCAATAAATCTATCAATCTCAGGAACAATGTTATATGTGGTTTTGTGGAAGGCAATTGCTTAAATGAATTGAGCAAATATGGACTATTCATTTGATTAACTGGAATGTCTACAGCAGAAAAATGAAGTTTTCTATAGGAGATGGACAGTGGCTATAAAAATTATCACTCAAAATCTGTACCTGTGTATAATTATTATGTATTCATAAAACTCTTAAAAATATTTCTTTTAAAGTTCACATAATTAAATGAATTTGGGTCAAATGTTTCCATTTAAATTATGATTCAAACCATAAGATGTATTTCATAGCAAAAAAGTATATCCTTGTTTTTGTACCCTAAATACACATTCTTTTTTTTTTTTTCTTTTGAGATGGAGTCTTGCTCTCTTGCTAGGCTTGGAGTGCAGTGGTGCGATATCGGCTCACTGCAACCTCTGCCTCCCGGGTTCAGGAGATTCAACTGCCTTAGCCTCCCAAGTAGCTGGGATTACAAGCACGCAGCATCATGCCCAGATAGTTTTTGTATTTTTAGTAGAGACAGGGTTTCACCATGTTGGCCAGGATGGTCCTGATCTCCTGACCTCATGATCCTCTCACCTTGGCCTTCCAAAGTGCTGGGACTACAGGCTTGAGCCACCGCACCCGGCCTATTTTTTATTTTTTTATTGAGATGGAGTCTTGCTCTGTTGCCCAGCCTGGAGTGCAATGGCATGATCTGTAACTCCTGGGCTCGAATGATCCTCCTGCTTTGGCCTCCCAAAGTGCTGGGATTATAGACATAGGCTACCACATCTGGTTTACAACATACGTTTTGAAGTCAGGCTGGGTTTGAATTTCACCTCTGCTACTAGTTAAGTGGCTTTCACAAGTTATTTAATCTGTCTGCATTTCAGTGTTTGCCATCCATAATATGGGAATAATGCCACCACCTTTATTGTGGTGTTGTGATAATTAACCAGTGCATCATGTGCCTAGCATATATATGCTAAAATAGTACTAGTCCTTAAAACAATGCTTTATAAATCTGGGACATAACAGTAACCAGACCCTGCTATGATATATAAATATACGTGTGTGAGTATAAGAATAGTTTCCAGCTAAATAAATAACAAGGTAGAAGTGATGCTCTCACCATTGCATTTTTCTTTGCTGCTTGTCTTTTTAACCTTCTTCCTTCCCGTCGACTGTCTTTCTTTAAAGCAACTGCAATTTCTTCCCTTACTTCCTTACTGTCTGTTGCTATAATTTGCCCATTGTGAACCATCTGTGAATTCTGTCTTAGGTATTCCATGAATCCATTCACATCTTCATTTAAGTACTCTTTTTTCTTTTTGTTCTTTTTATGTTTTGCTTGGGGTGCATCATTTTTAAGGGATAGCCTACTGGCTTCAAGTTGTTTACGCTTTGGTAGGTTTTGGCTTGTTCCCTCAAAGGATCCCTTCTTCATGTCCTCCCATGATGTTGCAGGCAAGGGTCTTTTGTTGTATGTGGTATTAACTCGTGCCCACCTGGTCATAATTTTATCAGAGGTACCTTATCAATTTTTAAGACAAAAATGGGTGGTTAGTCATCAACAACAAAAACAACACAACTAAAGAGACATGCTATATCACTATATCTCACATATGTCCATATGTTAAACTTTTAATTATTAAAACCCTTTTTACTTCAGTTAGATATCTATATACATATTTAATGCTATAATACACTGCATAGATATGCTTCTAATATAAATCTACCACTTACCAGAAAAGCTGCCCCACCAGTTAAAAAAGTGTGCTTAAAATTAAAAAATTATCTTAAACCAAATTATTTCATAAAATATAAATCAGACACTAATACAATGAATGCAGTTATTCCTTCCAAATTTCCGCAGTTTTCCTGGCTGTTTATTTTCCGATCTCCAAGTCCCACAGCTATTTTCTACCAGTCTTCTTGCTTAGTTTGCCACTTCAATGCAACAATTTGCATAGCAGATTACTAAGTATACAGAAATTATGTCCTTTAATATGAAGTTTGCTGAAATTTCCTGGCAGAATTATAAGTAAAACATATAAAAGCGTTTATCATCACAGGATGATACTGGGCTTCCCTTCATACTAATCAAGGTATAAGCTACTTTCAGCCCAGTGATTTCACATCATCTTCAATTCTATTTAAATTATGATCCGAATCATAAGATACCTTTCACACCAAAATCTCTATCTTGTTTTTATACCCTTAATACCTATGCTATAATATTCAGAAACACTTTTCATTTTAGAGCACATACATAAAGAAGTAATTCTAGCATTAATTATTTAGCTCCAACATAAAACTGAACAAAGTTTCGGTTACTTTACACACTACCTAGTAATTTGGAGGATATTTTTTGGCTGCAATGAATGAGAACATTCAGCCATAATCAGAGATTCATCAACTACAGTCACACACTACATAACATTTAGGTCAACAGTGACTGCACATATGATAGTGGTCTCAGATGATTATAATGGAGCTGAAAAATTCCTATTCCTAGTGATTTTGTAGCCCTCATAACTCATGGTGTAGCACATTACTCATGTCTGTGGTGATGCTGGTGTAAACAAACCCACTGGACTGCCAGTCATATACAAGCATAGTGCTTACAATGATGTACGTAATACTTCGTATTTATAAGTATTCCAGAAAAAGGCAGTTATCATAAAACATGACAGCTCCATTCATGTTACTGCCCCTGAAAACCTTCCAGTAGGGCAAGATGTGGAGGAAGAAGAGTGATACTGATGATCCTGACCTGGTGTAGGCATAATGTGTGTGCCTTAGTTTTTAACAACAAAAATAATTTTAACAGGAAAAAGCTATATAATAATGTAAGGGAATAAAGAAAACATTTTTGTATAGCCATACAACATATTTGCATTTTAAGTTGTTATTACAAGAGTGAAGAAGTTAAAATTCATTTAAAAGTTTGGTACAGTAAGCTAAGGTTATTAAACATTTTTAAATAAACTTAGTTTAGACTAAACATACAGCATTTATAAAGTCTACAGTAGTGTACAGTAGTATCCTAGGCCTTCACACTCACACACCACTCACTGACTGTGACCCATAGCTACCGACAGCCCTGCAAGCTCCATGTGTAGTAAGTGCCCTATTCAGGTGTACCACGCTCTCTTTTATATCATTTTTACAGTATATTTTCTATGTTTAGATTACACACATCCTTTTACAGTACTGCCTACAGTATTCAGTAGAGTCATGCTGTACAGGTTTGTAGTCTAGAAGCAACAGGCTATCCCATACAGCCCAGGTGTGTAGGTTTGTGTTAAGTACACTATGATGTTTGCACAACCACGAAATGGCCCAACCATTTCTCAGAACTATCCCAGTTGCTAAGGGAAGCATGGCTGTATTAAGCCACCACCTTTTTTGTTGTTGTCATTGTTGAGATGGAGTCTCACTCTAGCCCAAACTGGAGTGCAGTGGGCTATCTCAGCTCACTGCAACCTCTGCCTCCGAGGCTCAAGCGATTCTCCCGCCTCAGCCTCCCGAGTAGATGGGATTACAGGCATGTGCCACCACGCCCAGCTAATTTTAGTAGGGACGGGATTTCACCATGTTGCCCAGGGTGGTCTCGAACTCCTGGGCTCAGGAGATCCGCCCGCGTCGGCCTCTCTGGGATTACAGGCATGAGCTACTGCGCCCGGCCTAAGCCATTTTTAAGACCAGCATCCCTGCGCAATCCCCCTTCAGGTCTCAGCTCCTGACAACAGAAAGATCTCTTCCACAGAAGCTGAAGGGTGTACCCAATGAATTGGTGTGAGACGCTCGACCCCACTTTCCGAGCGCACTCTTCGCTGAAGTTCCTGCGACTGTCACAGTGGGGACCGAAGCTGTTCAAAATGAAGTGCATCATCCTTCCCCTGAGTACCTGGGAAGGGGGAGGCTGAGAGTTATCAAGAGGGTGAAGTGGGAGGGCCGGGCGGCCCACCCGCATGCGGATCCCAGTACGGCTGGACGCGCAGTCCCCGCCCGCCCGAGCCCAACAGCTGAGGCCAGCGCCCCTAGGCAGGCGGCGATTCCCACGCTCCAGCCAGCTCAGGGACCCGGCGGCCAGGCCCTGTGTCTTCCCAGCTTCACACACAAGTTCCGCCAGGTCAGCGGGAACAAACGATGAGACCCTGTGGCTTTCATGGTCGAGAACCTCACCTCACTGCGCTACTGCGCACGAATCCCCCAGAGCAGCCGAGTTAGTGAGCCAGAGAAGCCGGCCTTCCTATGGCTTTGGAGACCGGAAGCACATAGTGCCCGAGAGCGCGTCACTTCCGGCGTCGCTGACGGTCTCTAGGAGAGACTTGCAGGCGTTAAGACTGGGCTGAGTTTGTGGCACGCTTAGTGATGGGATGGCGCTGTGCAGGACACAGACACAAAAAGATGAGTTCAAACCGTGCTGTCTGAACTCAGCGTAGTGGGCGAGATTGACAGGAGGATCGGTAGGGTGGGAGATGCCGGGAAGTCTTCCTTGAGACTGGATTAGAAAACAAAAATCTGGCGAAATTGGCGGCAGGAGGGAGTTAAGGACGTTCCAGGCAGAGGCAAGGTAAAGGCGCGGTGCGAGTGGGTCACTGTGATAAAAGTCTGAAAAGGACATTTTGGGGCTCTCTCGAGCGAACGGCAGTGCCTCATGTCCCCCCTTCAGTGCTGGTTGAGCATTCAGTTAAAATGTTACACTTTGTAGCCAAACAAGTCTTTTTAAGAGGAAAACGCCAGATTCCTGAACTGCTTATTTTCTCTGGCCTCTTCCTGACGGATACCACCACCAGCTGTGCCTAGTGGAAAAACTGCAATTTACCAGGACCACTACTCCCAACAGTTCTATTAGTCCATCTAACCTTTTGAATATTTGTCCACTTCTTTTTGTCTCTGTTGCCACCTCCTCCCTTGTCCCATGTCGCACCTGTATTACTACAGCTGGTCTGGGTATTCATTCTGCCCCAACTCCCTCAAATCCATTTTCTGTGCTGCAGCCGAGGGAACTTTTGAAAATGTAAATCAGATAATTGCTGTATTGCTCTAAACTCTCCCATCAGTTCCCATTGTTTTTAGGATGAAATTCAGACTCCTTATTAAGTCCCTGCCTACTTAACTAGCCTTACCTTGGCACAATCTCTCCTTTGAGCTCCGTGCATAGGATCATTTCTTTAATTTCTCAAATGCTGCGTGTACCTTGTCATCTCCAGGCCTTTACATTTGCTGTTATCTTTGTATGGTACTCCTTTTCTTCTTTCAATTACTTTCTACTTACCCTTCAAGACTTTAAATATTTTATTCTCAAGAAAGCCTTCCAGCCTCCTACCCCCATGCTAAACCAATCTCCTACTGTGTGCTCATGGCAGTCTTCTTAGGGTACTTTGCACATTTGTAATTATATAATAATTGTGTAATAAGTTTATTGTACCCTCATTGCCTGGTACATCGTTGGTGCTCGGTTCGTTTTTTTTTTTTTTCTTTTTTTTTTCATTTTTTTTTTTTTTGGAGACAAAGTTTCGCTCTTGTCGCCCAGGCAATGGTGCAATCTTGTCTCACTGCAACCTCCGCCTCCCGGGTTCAAGTGATTCTCCTGCCTCAGCCTCCCAAGTAACTGGAATTACAGGCACTCACCACTACGCCCTGCTAATTTTTGCATTTTTAGTAGAGATGGGATTTCACCATGTCGCCAGGCTGGTCTCGAACTCCTGATCTCAGGTGATCCACCCGCCTTGGCCTCCCAAAGTGCAATTACAGGCGTGAACCACCACGCCCGGCCCTTGTATTTGTTAAATAAAGAAAAATAAACACTTTGCCATGTTTGTTTAAAGCAAACCAGAAAGTGGCCCAGTTTTAAGAGAAGGGATTTTATAGTCAGTGCTGTAGGAATAAATATCCTAGGTCATATGGTGGAGAAAGTTTTAAAAGACAACAAACAAGCAACAGCACCTTTCAGCTCTTGCACATAGGTAACTTCCTAAAAGATGTGTGGTAAGTGCTCCCCATACTGTATTGATCTCAACCAGCTGACTTCAGGGTAGTGACATTTCATGAAGAGGTTTTATCTTTTGTAGATGCCAGGTACTTGCATGTAACCTGCCACTAGAGGGCGCATTTAACTAAAACTTTTTTTTTTTTTTTGAGACAGTCATTTAAATCTGTAGGTCATTCATTCTTGGAAGTAAAGGAACATTCCGATTTCTTTTTGTAGAGGTATGTCCAATAATGATTAGTAGTTGAGTAAATGGGGCATAGAATAGGTCCTTTGGAATTCGGAGGAAACTATTGCTACTAATAGCTGACTTTACTGAACATTTTACAGGTGCCTGGCTCTATGCTTAATGGTTTGCATTCATTACCTAGTTAGTCCACTCAGTATCCTGTGAGGTAGGTACTGTTATTTTCTCCATTTTGCAATGAGGGAATAAGTTCACAGAGCTGATGTAATTTACCCAAGGTCACACAGCTAATAAGAGGTAGAGCCAGAATTTGAACCAAGATCTCAATCCAAAACCTGTGTTCTCTGCAGCCTTGAAATACTGCAGAGGATTGTCTACTTGATCCACTTTAAAACACTTTATTAAGTTATCCTTGCCTGTGTTAGATTTTTTTTAGAAAGTATTTACTTTTACAGTTCAAGGGATTACGTGTGTATTCAGTTTTCCCATCTGCTTACTGAAATACTGTAAATGTATTTTTTAATAACAGTATTATCAGCAAGGTAAGTTAAATAAGGAATGAAGGTTTGGCGAAGGCTTTTCTGAAGGGCTTGTACCTCATTAAAAAAAAATTATTCAGCCCAAGCAGGAGAACAAGAAGAAAAGTGCTGAAAAGGACGTTAAAAAAAACCATATGAAGTAATTGTAAAACACATGTTCATGTAAACATTACCCAGTTTAAGAAACTGACCACTGCCACATATTTTAAAAATTATATTAATGTAATTTTTTGCATGGGCAATATGTTTTTATGTTTCAAACAAAAGTAGTTTGTATGATGATGTACACTTTCTACAAAGTATCTGCCATCCTGATGATAACTATATATTTCTGGAGAAAATATAAAAAACTACCTGAGGATTCTGAAAAGAAAAAGGCATTTGTGGAAGGGAGACAGAATCTGAAGACAAGTAGCACATGGGTGAGAGTTCCTTTGTGTGTGGGGGGTGGGGGTTGTCCTGAGGGTAGGCCACAGTCAAAGTGGTACAGCATGAATAGTTAAAACTATAATAAAATCTCACTGCCATCTTTCTGGCTGGAAGAATCAGACAAAAGACCATGCAACAGCCATACCTAACGAGAGAAGGGGGAGTTCTGGTGGGAAGAGAGTCACAAGGAGGAATCCTCTATTTCTGTGTATGAATTCCGCCCAAGTCTTAAGTTCACCTCTGAATCACATGTGCTCAACAGAAACTCAGAGTCTTAAAGAAATGAACAGATTTAAGTTACCACTCACAAAAAGTGAGACAAAGCGTATGATACAAGTCTAAGTTAACTGCCTGCTTAAGTGTTTTTTCTTAAGGAACATGTGAAAGAAAAATAGAATCTTGGGACCCCAAACTCACTATGCCAACGGGAAAGTGAAGCTTGGGAGTTGAGTCACTAGCAAAAACTGCATTCCTTTGTTCCTAAATAACTTTTACATGTTTACATTCCTAAAATACTTTTACATGTTTACTTTATCTTGTGTAAAATCTAGATTTAGATTTCTCATCTTTTGAAAAAGATTTTCTTTTCAATTATGCCTGAGAAGAATGCATAATTGACTTTTTCCTTACTCCCTTCTTTTCATACATAATCACTGAACACCAAGCAGAGCCTCATAAGGTTGTAACCATTTGCCTAGTCGCTCGCCCACTCCTTTTTTTTCTTCCCCTCATGCTTGCCCTTTTCTCTAAATATTGAAGTTTCAAAACCCTCTTTGGAAAAAGTTCAGGTCACAGATTCTACTTTGACTTATGTTTCTTTGTCACCGGTGTGCCCTCAGCCTTGGCAAAATAAACCTCTGAGATCTGCCTCAGTTACTTTTTGGTTTACAAATAGAACTCAAGGCATATACTGAATAACATACACAATGTTCAGAATAAAACCCAAAATGACTTGATATACAAAGAACTAGAAAAATGTTAAACAGTCTCAAGGAAAACAAATGGCAATCCTAGGATGATCCGGATGTTGGAATTATTAGACAGGATCTTTAAAGGATCTATTTGTGCTTAAGGAGGTAAGTGAATGCTGTAAATTATGAGATAAGAAAAAAAATGCTATAAGTGAATTGAGAGATAGTAGAAAAATATAAGAAAAATTTTAGAACTAAAATATATCTGAAATAAAAAATTACTGGGTTCTCAGTGACAGAGTTCAGAGACAAAAAAAGTTAGTGATGGGATGGGCTTAATATTATGGAAGTGACCAAAAAGAAAAAAATTAGCTGGATCAAAAAGTATAAGCATTTTAAATTTTGATAGATGTTGTTGATTCTCCTTAAAGCTTGTACCAATTTATATGCCCAACAGCAATGTCTGACAGCTCTAGTTTCCCATGCTTCCCCAAAGAGTATTTTGTCACACTTTTTGGTTGTCAAACTGCCATAGGTGAAAATGGTATACTGATATTATTTAAAGTATCAGTTCTGTTGTTTTAAGTGAGATTGAGCATCTTTTTATGTGTTTAGAAGTCATTTGTATTTCCTTTTCTGTCAACCAATGGTTTATATCATTTGCCCATTTCCTATTGGATTGTGGTTTTTTTCTTATTGATTCTAGGAGCTCTGCGTATATATTCATAATCAGATACTGTTTATAAATATTAGACTAGGAATAGAAGGAATACAGGGCCCCTTCTATACTTTTGGCCTAGTACTTAACATGCAGTATTACCTGTCTCCCCTGCTAGACTATAAAAGCACCAAATTATTAAAGTGATATGGATCTTTGTTGTCTTTTTTTTTTTACCATTTACATCTTGTTTATGTTACTGGATTGGTATATAGAAGACAATTTTTGTTGAATGAAAAGAATGAATACAAAATAAGAAAAGTAGTTGCTTTTCTGTTTGTTAAAAGAGCGAATACCAAATTAGAATCATTCAAAATCAATTGTCTAGTTTAAAACAGTAGCAACCACCAGAAGAAGAAGAAAATAAAACCAGAAAAGTGGGTATCTTAGTCTCATATTCCTGAATAACTCTCAGATAGTTTTGGCCTATAAAGTGTGTGATGTGACTTTGTTTTGTCTTTGGTAATACCTAACAGAATTTGCTGCCATCTTTTGATGGACTCCTCTGTGAACTAGGAGTAAAAGGTAGTAGACCGTACCACCAGAATGTGCCATGTGCAGTACAGTTGGATGCTGCTAGCAGTTTGGTGATGTTGTAAACACAAGCCTTACTTTAAGAGTTGAGATAAAAGGATACGAACATGGTATTAAAGAATACCTCAGAGTACAAGTTTATGCATCAAGTACTTCAGTTTTGTATTTACTTCAAAATGCAGCTTTAGCTATACTTGGAAGTTACTTTTAAAACATTACAGTTAATATTTATTTTCTTTTACCCAGAAATGATCTAAGCTAAT